GCTGGGCCCGCGCGCCGCTGCCGGATTTTTGGCAGGAAACTTCTGCTAAATTGCGCGCTAAATTACTTACACTCCGTAGTTTTCAAATATTGTCGCCGAAATATAACTTCAGTACACTGGACCAAGTTAGACTCCCTCGCTATTTGAATCTGAAAAAATGAAATAAAAGTAATAATATCTCACTACACACAACGTAGCTAAATTAACCTAATTTGTGCTCTAAAATTCACTTCTGGAAAATATAACATTAGTAATTTTCAGTGAACTTCATGTATTTCACCAAATTCTACGCTGCATCAAAGACCTTGAATTTTCAATTCAATGATAACAGCACTTTTGTCACTGCTATAATTATTTTTAAACAACACAATGAAAAATATATAAAAATGTATTCTTCACTTTTTCCATCACATTGACTTGAACGATACAAATTACACGCTTTATTAACTTTCACAGACAATCAATGGATTCCAAATTAAAAATTTATAAAAATGAAACCACTTCATAGTCCATTAAAAATGAAGCATATATTTAAAAATCATTCACAAATTAATCAATACTACATAGAAGCACTGGCACATGATGAAACACAAAAAAAAATCATCAAATTTTAATTGCTATTTACGTGGTTGCTTGTGAAACAATACAAACCAGAGGGAAAAAATCACAAACGTATACCGCTGATAAAGCATCATAAACAAACAAAAGTATTGGGCCATCAATCACAAAAACAAAACACCAAACAAAAATCAAACACTCTGCAGTAAACGCCGCAGGTATCCAATCACTGTCCGCATTATTCCGAGTGCACGAATGTGTTGCGTAAAAATGAGGGAGTGGCCCAGGCGCCCAGGTAGCACTGCGCTGCTGCCCAAAAGTGCTGCTCCGCTGCCTTCTTTCCTCCGCCGACGCCCAGCTCGTCTGCCGGCCGCAAAGTATTTACGCCGCCTTTATAAGACATAAGCATGTGTAGCACGTATGAGACACGGGCGGGGTAACGCGTAAACGAGAGAGGCGATGTGTGAGCGAAAAAGGGGGATTTCCTGGCTAAAAATAAAAAAATTGTGCCCAAGCAAACAAGTAGCGTGGTCCGTGATTGGTCGGAATCAACCGCCAACTGCCCCTTCCCCCTCGCTCCCGACGCCCTCACTCTTTCATCCCGCGCGTATTATCGTCCCGTCTCTCTTTTTTCCTCCGCGCGCGGGGGGGAAACTTTTTCCCCTCTTAAAACAGCGACGCGCGCGCACGGGCAAAAATCTGCACGGAAACTCCGCGACGCGTCGTCGCGAAAAGTGGAAGGGCGGCCAAGAGAGGGGAAGGGAAAAAGAGGGGTAAAAAGGGGTAAAATTCCGGGCCCGGGAAAGAAGTTACTTTCGGACTGCGGGGGAGGGCGCTGTTTTATGAGGCAGAGCGTGCGGGCGGCCGGGCCCTGCGCCTCCGCGCGAAAGTATTGCGTCGGCGTCTGCGCGAAAAATCGCATCGGGAAGATGGCTCGCTGCGGGTGCGCTCCGGAAGAAGTGGTTCGCTTTTCGAGAGGTTTGGGCGCGAACGGCCGACGACGGGCGCGCCAGGTGACGTGAAGTGGTTCCGGGCATTTGGAGGTGTCGAAGAAGCCCCCTGCGTCCCCGAGGAGCCTCCGGTGGCGGTCCAGGGCGGACAGGACGGCCGCCGCCTGCCACCAGCACACACCCGCCGGGCGCCATGTTTTTCTGGCGCGATGTCTCCTGGTCTTTGCTCTGGTTCGTGGGCGTTTCGTCGCCCGCGGCGATTTTGGTGGAACCCCAGGTGAAAGCAATCGAATTCCTCGTGCCCCTCGGGCGGAATGGAGAAATTTGATTGGTTCGCAAACGCAATTTGTAGCATTTTTCTACGACGAATTTTTCGTTGCTGCCCGTCGACAAAAAATCAATACTTTCTTTCCATGTTGGAGTTGGATGCATCACAAATTTCTCTTAAAAATCCAAGCACTATTTTTCCAAACATACTAACTTCTCATATTCACATACTTCTATACCTTTTATTATCTGGCAATCTATCCTACAAAGAATGATTGTATTAATTTGTCATATTATGATTTCGCAACATTTTACAGGATGAATGAAGATTTTTTAAATACCAAAGTGGAATTATTTTTATTTCTGAATTGTGTTTTTTCCTTTTTCTTTCGAAAATTAATAATGTTTTCAAAAGTAAAATAATAATCTACAATCTCAAAAATGTTTCCAATTCATATTTTTTTTGCAATAAAATACACAAAATGATCTTCGCAATCTCCCATTATTCACTGCTAATTTTGAATAATAATTAATAATCAAAATATTATTTAATATTACCTAAATTATTTTTATAATTCTTGAAAACTATTTATCCTTCATGTGTTATACTGTAGGTTTACTTACAATATTGTATAAGAATAAGGATTCACAAATAAAATTATTTACCTCGCAATAAGGTTTTCTTTGTTTGTATAATACATATTCTTATGTACACACAGGTCCAGAATCTCAAATAACATCGTCTGAATGCTTCAGTAGTTTTTGATGCAATTGGCGTAACAGCATGCAAACAGAAGCTGTTATCTAGTTGGAAGCATCCTATAGATCTCATCTGCACAAAATACAGGTATTTCCCGTTTTCATAACGTATCATTAAATATAATTTTACCATCATAAAATAAATGGAACTTTTGAAAGATGAGAAATGTTATACCAACCATCTTCAGATAAAATTATGAGCTTCGGAAATGAAAAATTCTTTGATGTCAACAATACCAAACAGTAAGAAAATGTTTCCAATTTATCTTAGAAAGCAAAATATATTACCATACATCTAGCTCCTTCCTTCTGGGTGAATTATTGCTTATGTTACTTTGGTGTTTGTGGAAACTCAACTAACAAGACCATGTGTTTGTGTTGATAACCTGGTGCAACTCTACACTCACAGTACTAATAAACTGTTCCCACACAAGTCTGGAGTTTAATGTTTCTTGTGGATATGGAAATGCAAGGCGTCGCTGTTTCTTCAAGAAAGATTCACGGAAATTCTGAGGCTAAACAACAGTATAGGGTGAACACTAACATATTTTGCAAAATCTTATTTCAGACACCATTTTTTAAAATAATTATTAAAACACAAATATATATCCAAATATTTGCTGTAATTATCATTGAGAGTTCAGAATATTTTCTTATGAATTGCTTTGGTATTCCCCATCATTATTTTAAAAATACTAGAGACATTCCTTACATTATGTATTCAGTTTCAAAAGTAAAATTTCATTCTTGCTAATCAAATATATCTCTATTTCTCATTAATGATTTTGACCTCAAATATGTTATGTAATAATTTTGAACCATGGATTATTCTGTAGAAGTAAATCAAATAGGTTGTATTATTTTACTTAGTTTGAATATAGAACATCTGGTAGTATTTTGAATATTTTGTCTTCACGAGTCAAACAGAATAGGAATCACTTTTATTAATGGTGGTATTAATAATATTCTGTATCCTTGAGGATGGGTCTTGTATATTATTATTATTATTATTATTATTATTATTATTATTATTATTATTATTATTATTATTATTTGTCAAGCATTAACGGACGAAGTCCATCGATAACAAGGGGTAATTGAAAAAGTAAGAAAGAGATCGTTAGTAGTCACAGTTTTGAGTTTTACGATTTCAGCACATAATACTCGTCGAACAACACCTTCCAATTCAGTATGTCATATTTTCAGTTTCTCTTCAGATGACTTGATAACATCTGGTTTCGTGACCCTAATTTAATACACGTGTGCACCAAATATTAAATGAGCTAGCTCTCAAAACTACATAGAGTTGCTTAGCTCACGTCTTCCTTCCCTTCAATATTTAAGTAAATGAGGAAATTAAATAATTAATATTTCATCCCATTGTTTGCATAATTTTCATTGAAGTTCACCTTAACCAATTACAGAAACATTGCTAAAGATACCGATGGGTTACAATGCCTGTGTCTTGAAACAATTTTTTTGAATATTATTATTAAATTCCTTGTTTTTAGTAATGTTTTAGGAATATGAGCTGTTCTTCAGCCAAACCACTCTAATTGTGCATTAAAAAATAATAATGACATTATATAAGCTAAACAAAAATATAAAGATAAATTCACGACCATCTTTTCGGAAATCACATAATATTCGGGATCATAGAATTAGATCAAAGCAGGCTCAGACAAAAGGGTAGCATAATTTGATATAGCTACATGATCCGAAACGTTTTGTAATTTATAAGAGGCAATGTAAATAATATAATTCTAACACTAATTATACAAGATTATATTTTAGTTGGTAATGTTTGGTAATGACAAATGTTTGGTAATGACAATTTGTTGCTGAATGTTAACATTATGGTAATGTTAGTTTGTTGGAAACACAATCACAAATGAATGTATAAAATTGAAGATTACATTTAGAAATTAGTTATAATCGCTTTATCATAAATTTTCACAATAAAATATCTAATTTATTTCTGTAGTAATAATTTAGTTTGCTATTCAAAAAACATCCAGTTTCGCACTAGAAACATTTTTTCTTGGATAATGTTTTTGTACGAGACAATGGCATCATGCTTCATTTATTTCCACATCTCTCTCTCTCTCTCTCTCTCTCTCTCTCTATATATATATATATATATATATATATATATATATATATATAACTGGATAATACTAAGTAGTTTGATTCCGTATGTGAAATAGGACACCCCCTTGTGTATGTATTAACCATTTTCAATGATTGCTGGTTCACTTGAAGTTTCCATGTGTAGTAGGAAATTCGAGGAAATATTCAAAAAATGAATTTTAACAAATCTCTCCTGTAAGGCATTGATTAAACTAATTAATTTGGTATCACCAATATGTAGGATGAAACTATAAATAAATGTCATGAATATTCGTCCACATATTTTATCATTATTATCCAAATTTGTAGCTGCTCGAATATTTACTACAATGATCGATAATTAATTTCGTTGTAGTAACTTTTTACCACAGTCTCAAATTTATACAAAAAAACAACTTTATTTTGTGAAGATCTCTAGGAAAGAATCTCCTAATCTAAATTTTTAATTTAATAGGTTTATTTTCGTTTTCGTGTTAACCACAACTGGTATTAAAAGTTACTACGTATGTACTAAGTACAAAAAACTTCAAACATTTTCTGAGAAAATGAAATGTACTTAGTCAAATTATTTTTCCGAAATTCTAACAATTATCACATCTGAAATATGAATCTTTCACAACGATTATACCTGCCTATGTAAGAAATATTTCATGTTGCTTTTGATACTCCAGCCCAAAATGCAGAATGGCAGAACTTTACATAAAAATACATTACATGCATATAATAAGTATGATGTTTGGATACAATTATCACTATGAATTACTTTTTATTTAACTTCTACAGCATAAAGAAATTGTAAAAAATTTTAATGAATTATTTATTTTTTTAATCATATACATTTTTCATTTATCTAACAAATGTCCGTGGATACAGTAAAATACCAAATGTACCGCATTTTTAAAAACACTTAATATAATTAATTTTTGTATGTATAATCATCAACTGTTGCAAGTAATATAAGGTAAGTACATCAAAGGCTGATACTTCAATAATGTTTTTTCAGCACTCGCTTCAAAACTAATGCTCGCTTTCCCTGTTTATTTTCTGGAAAGTGTTACTATGCGGTTCTAGTAGAGCAAAATTGTCTGTCCATATAAGACAACTGGATACTTCAACTAAAAATGTTTGCTCCATAGTAATACCCACGTAATACTCATTTCTATCCGGAAACGAACTACATATATTATTTTATTGTATTGCTAACGAAATAGCAACTAACATCGCCAGCTCTCTTACTCCTATTATTAATTTTCTCCCTTCTCCTTTCATTAATTTTGAAAATTACATGAAAGGTGTCTGATCCTCTTATAAGAAGATACTACAATAACTGCAGTTTTATAAGCTGACACACAGGGACTTTTCCAAATAATATCCTTAATAATGACTGAAAATGTAACATTCAGTCTACATATTTTTTCATATCAGAAGTTGGCAATTCTGAATACGTAAGTAAATAGAAATCGAGGGTATTGTGTCAGTTTTGTATTCTTACTTTTCCAAAGTAAATTGCTATTAGAGACGTTTAATCTGAGCAATATTTTAAAAAGGATAAATATTTAAGTAATTTAGTATAATAAATTAATATTACAGTCAATGTAAACTTAGGAATGTTAAATATATTCACATTTCTCCTCATAATACATCATATTTTGAATTTCCATAACTAAAAACACTTCTTTCTTTACGTCAGACTTTGGAAATTTAACTTTTTTTATTACATAGTTTGTTTGCCCCAAATATTATATTTTTTCGTGATCAGTTTCAGACTCAGCAAACCCATTAACACAACTTGCTGGACTGACGAAACTGGAATGATGAAAATGACTTTCCTTGTAAAAAAGCCTTAACTTACAGCAAGATTTGAAATTTATTGAGCAATTTTATAATGCATTATTCTCACAATACAGACCTGGTAGACTCGGGCCAAAAATAGTGTTGATGATTCTGTGTCTGACATTCCCTGGCAGATACTGGTAAATATTTACTAAAATCTTTAAGGTCATAACGAGGATTTACGTTAATTTCTCTCGAACAACAATGACTAATACATTGTTATTTCAAAATATTTTTGAACTATACCAATTCTAAATAAAATGTAATTCATTAGTGCATTAACAGCAT